TATGTATGTATGTATGTATGTATGTATGTATGTATGTATGTATGTATATGTATGTGTATGTGTATGTGTATGTGTATGTGTATATGTATATGTATATGTATATGTATATGTTTATGTTTATGTTTATGTTTATGTTTATGTATGTATGTACCAATTATGTTATATTATATTGTGTGATTTTATATTATATATAGCCTCAAATGCTACAACCGACTCTAGCAGCCTAGTGTCACTGTAACAACCACGGTCATTTTTTCCAAGTAACGATGTCGGGAACCCAGAAATAATGCCGTCCCGAATCCTACTGGAGCCCACGACATGATTCAATGTGCGCAAAGACACGCGTGGGAACTGTGCCAAGAAAAACCTTTGCAAACAGCAGCACCATTACACGCCACAGGGCACCCCTGGCGCCTTTTCTTTCATGTGTAGGTATCCTGCATACCCAAAGAATGAACATAACGTGAGTCCCAGATCAAGCATCCACAAATTGAAAGTAACAAATGCTCACCCAGTGGTGTCACACTTCGTGCATTCCGGACACAGCCCAGGGTCAGAAAGTCAGCACTCTGTGCAAAGGCTTGGCACAGGGTAGTCTTGACCCTGGCCCACCACCTGAGATACACCACACAAGTTCTTCAACTTGGGACCCTTCAACATCAAAGGATAGGGACGACCATACTCGTCCATCGGTTAAACATTCCTTTCCCAAAAAAGGTGGTGGGATGCGACTGCTTGGTTTGTCACTTTCTATGGGACTGTGGTGAATTAATCGATACCACTTATATCATGCAAAAAATACAAGGCAATCTTTTATATATTATAGGCGCTCATCCAGCCTTTGCTGTGGCTACCAAATACAACAGTTGGTTCATGTTGATTGTTGATTCACAGAACGTGCCAGAATGACGTCAACAGTAATGACAGTATACACTATACACACACTTTAAAGTGCTTCCCCACTAGAACCCCAAAAGCAAAAGCATACATGACCTAGTGACCTACCACCAAAATCCACCTAAATCGACCTAAATCCCATGCGTGTCCCTTCCTTCGGTGGAAGCCCGGGCCGTTTCCCACCGTTGGAAACTCGATGTTCGCCTGGGCCGTGTATCCCACGAGTCGGCTTCCGTGGCTTCGCTCACCACCCTGAAGTCACAGCGTGGCAGGGTCCAAGCGAAGGGAATGGAAAGAATGTCACCAGCTATACTCACGTCACACATGGGTTACAATATATATATATATATATTCGAAGTTAAAACTCCTAGTATCAAAGAATGCATCATGTTACAATATATATATACATACATACAGGGTGTCAGAACCAAAGAGTGAGATCAGTGATCATTCCTAGATACGCAGGAAGCGGTAGGACGTGTATGCCAATCCATTTCCCTGATTTTAGACGACCCTGTTGGATGCATCTCAAGAGAATAATCTTCTAGCTGTGCGGTGCGGTGTCTGATCCTGTGGTATATAATTCAAAAGCTTTTGAGTTTTGATGACATATTTGCGAGACCCTCAGCAGCTTCATGATCATCGAAGTTGAGAAACAACAACCAAACTGATTTCGATATACACATCTTGCACATGCAAAAGGGTAACAATAGGGCATGGTACGCTTGTCCAAAACACACCCACACACACACATCCACAGCTATCCAGACACCCTTGCAGATGGAACATTGTTGGTTGCTGTGTTCCCTTGGCTTTAATTGGAAGAGGCCAGCAGTCTCACTTTTGACTCTCCTATCCTGTGACCACCCAAGAAATGAAATGCTGAAATGCCTGACCTTATGGACCCAAGAGAACATCATGAGACATTGTTGGCCCATGTGAATACACATGAACACACAAAGCCCATGCACTCGGTTGCCTGTTTAAGGCCCAGGTGTGTGCGAACTGCTCTTCCTCCAGCTCCCCCGCAGCTTGCGCCAGCTCACGCTGTCCTGGCAAGCTCTTGGCAGAGTAGATTCTGTAAATAAATATGACCCACACCGACACTGACAAACGAATAAGTCATACCTATGTCATACCTTCTGACCACAACTCAGTCGTGTTCTTTTATCTGTTTCCACTCCGGGTCGATCCCCCATTCCATGGACTGCCATGCGCCCGAGAGCCGCAGCAGCGCTTTGGATGGCGGTGGGATGTCAATCACCGCCACTGGGAGCCGAGGCCAAGCCTCACAGCCTCACTGAACAATAGGTTTGGCATTACAAATATACTGTCTTCCAACCAACTATGGATAGAAAGCCACAAGCACAACCAAGGTACCAACAAGAAAAGGTCCCAGGAGACTCCACAAACCACTGAACTACCTTCAGTTTGGATTGTGATCCTATCACTTTCGGTATATCCCATCCAAGCAACAGTGGATGATCATGATTAGGAAGGACATGGAAAGACCTTTCTCAGACAAAGTGGTGGATGATGGTGTGATGAACACCGCGCGGAGCCGATCGCGGGACCCGCTTCGGCCTGTGGTCTTGGCCCTTGGGAGGAAGATCTTCGGCCTTGGGGGTGGAACGGATTGCGCTGTGGATTTTCCAGTTACCATGCACTTTATACATAATATATAAATACATATATATATATTATATACATATACAGTATATGCATACATATATATTATAGTATATTGTAGTAACCCGTTCCGTTCGGTCTATGGTTTGCTCATCGACCTGGAACCACGGATCACTTGGAAGTTTGTGCTCGTGGAAACACCCCGTCGACACGTTGGGCCTCAGTCTGGTGAGTCGATTTGGTGGTTGCTCAGGTCAAACCGTGGCAGCAGAATCTGCAGCACAAGTCGCTCAAGAATAGCTGCTATTGGCTGTGTGAGTGGAAAATTGGTCTCCGATTTTCTGGTCAAATGATCAAAGCAGCCTGCTTGGCAACAGTTCGACCTCGTCTCTGCATGTCGACGAGTTGGTAGGAGATCTGTCGAGGTCTGTATGGGTTCTGGGTCCAAGCCAGAGTACCCTCTTTCACCAAACACACAGGTGTTGTTTTGCTGATAGTTAAATACTGTTAATAAATTACAAAACGTAGTCTATCAAGTCTATCAACATCTATCAACTTTTCCGCACCTTCAAGTCTGATCAATCACATAAATATCAGCCTTCTGAACATCACAGCAAAAACGCCTAACCTGAGGCGTGCGCGAACGGACATTGGACTTGTGCCGGTAGCGATGGCCCTGGTGGCTGTGCTGGTGGCTGATGCCATGGATCAGTTAGGAACTTCAATGAATTTCAATGCCATTCACGGCAGAAGGACCCTGATGCTGGAGGCGAGATCACGATCTTGATTGTCTTCCCCTCTTTTCTCATCTTCCTGTTTCTCGAGTAGAAGACATCAAGACATCATATTGCATTGGTGCACCTGGGCTACAATTACCATGTGGAATAATATTGTCTGACGTTTCGCCTTTTAACGTTTTTGAGCAACCAGTGGGTATCTGGCCTCCAAATATAGATTTTGTTATATTTATATATCGTGCGAACAAATGAATACAGTATATCAGTATATCTACAAACGTACCAGAAAGACCAACAGCCTCTACCAACTTCCAAAACTCCAGTTGCCGATTCTTGTCCTTCCTCGTTCGCGGAAAACCATGGCCTAATTAGTCAAACCCTGTAACAAATACATCTAGTTTTACTCAGGTACCCTGCGTTGGAACTTAACACACAAAAAAATCTACATGTATTGCAGCCATACGGCCTCATATGGCCGTCATGCTCCAAAAAGACGGCTTTCTGCCCTCTCAATTCCTGTCAATTCTTCGGCTTCTTCGGCCTCTTCACGAGTACCTCTAGTTCAAAAGAACTCCCAGAACCGAACCCTCCACACGAACGACACTCCTCACATGGATTCTGAGTCTCCCCACATCGCCATCCCTGCGGGTCAGTGTCAAAGACGCATGCCACGGAGATCGAAGGGAACATATCGTCCATCAGAGAAACCTCTGGGCTTAACATGGACTTTTTAAGATACATATTACTATTACTATTAGCAATACTATATATAATAATATGTGTGTTTTGAACTTGGACTTACCGCAGCAAAAACGACAGCAAAGGATGAAGATCAAAACCAATCTCTCTGGAAATCTCCACTCAGTCGAAACTCTCGCATGCTGATATGATGCCCCGCCCATGTTCTCCAACAGCAGGACACTCTGCCAGGGACTCACCGACGACTCCTTTCCGTTGGGAAAACATCCCATTCCCTCTGCCCAGTGGAGGAAAGGAGTATTACTTCTTTACCGACAGCTCTATAGGTCATGGGACACACATGGACACGCCCTATCTATATATATATATATTCATTTGATGTTCATCTGTTCTGTCATCTATGTCCATTCCCTGGGACACCTCAGCCACCACTCACCGCGCCTCTCATCCTTCAGGGCGAGCGACTTCTCGCCGCACGCAAGGGTCTTGGCTCGTCGCACCTCGCTTCGAAAGCCGGGTGAGGTCCAAAAAGGGGTGGTCCGGCGAAAGAATGTTTGAGAAGGTTAGCTGCCAAAAACACACTAACACGATCTCTTTGGTCTAAAGATGATCAGCTTTGGTTAAAGTTGATCAAAGCTGATCAACGGCATGTTGATACCAAAGCCCAAAAGCTCAATGATCCGAACCCGTACCACAGGCGATCAAGTGACCTGCACGCATGGCGAAGCACAGACCAGGGACACCCAAAGGGGCGCCAAGTCTTGGTGCTAAGGGGTGTCTATAACATCGCCTCTTAGAATCCAAGCACCGTTTCTCTCAAGTCTCCTGGTGACATGGATGACTTTGCCGATCATCCAAAACAGCCACAGCCACAGCCACATGTGGCGTCTGGCGTCTGTTTCTTCAAAGGCTGAATCAGAACTATAGAGAAGGATCAAGCGACGCAGGGGGCAACATCAACACCCATCTTGCTTCCCATAGCACAAAGTACTCCATCGACGGCAGTCCACACGCTCCTCCAGCAAAAAACACTCGCAAGCGACTTGCGGCAGTCAACGTCGGGGAAGCGTGGCATCGCGTGGCAACTCGTCTACAGCGTGGCATCGCGGTTGCGCCCTGAGCTCGTTGAGCGACAGCACAATGCACCAAGCTCCAACGGACGAACAACGCCATCGATCGAACCGCCCCGGGGGGGGTTGGCAGTTGCCGGAGCGCGGGTCACGTCAACATGCGGTGTGGCAAGCATAGTTCTGTTGAGGAAAATCATGTTCATTTCGTGACACCATCAATGACCTCAACTGGAATTTGGTTCTCCACACCAAACCCGGATTGGTGATCTCCAACAAAAATGCTAGTCACTGGCTAGTAATGCAGATATCAATGAAGAATCTTTCTGGGAAGTTGGACAGATATATAATATAACCACCCTCCCCCCCGCTCCCAAAAAAAGACATCCTCCGCATGACAAATCTCTTGGACCCAGGCTGGAAATATCTTGCTCAAGGAGAGCGAGGAGGAGCCTGCTGTTCGACATGCACGGATGTATTTTCTGCTGTCCCCGCTGTCCGGTCCAATTCCATGCGCTTCTGGAGCTGAGCCGGGATTGTGAAGGGATTGATGGTCAAACTTGAAGGCGCAAAGATAGTTGGTACCTGTAAGATCTTGTAAGGAACTCTCCACCTACTATACTAAGAGTACTACTAAGAGTATTTAGTGCTTTTCAGAAACTTCAAAACCAATAGAACCACCCTGGGACTCGCCTGTCGGACCCGTTTGAAACTCATTAAACGGGTTTCCAACGGGGCAATCCATGATCGTGAAAGTTTTGGGGCTTAGCTTGATTCTGGAGCATGGCTCTGAAAAAAAGGCCGAATGAACCTCACGAGGCCATTGGGACTGAAAAAAACAGAGATTTCAGGCTTTCTTTCTTCACAGCGATCTTCTTTCCACATGGAAAACAAATTCTCCAACTCTCTTTGCTTGGGAGGGATCAGTTACTACACTCTTGTTATTTCCAGATCTTCCAACTGTGCAATTTTTCTCAGAGCATGCTGCTCGAGGATGCTTTCAGTGGCTGGAGCCGACCAAGGTCAATTCCTACCTTCGAGCTTCGAAGCTCCTACCAAGGCGGAACATCATCCGAAGGCAAAAGAACTGTCCCACCAAGGTCAGCTCCTACCTTCGAAGCTCTGCCCGGATCACTTTCTGGATTCAGTTGGTGACCTGGATGAGGATCTGCTGGATGACCTATTGAAACTTTTCGCCTTCAGTTCCTACCTTCGGTTGAGTTTGTCCTCCCCGTTTCAAGCCCCGTTTCTCCCGCCGCCTGTAGCGTCGAAGAGCGGCAAGTCCTGTCGACTGCGCCCGGCCGCATGGACGGCCGGACAGCCATGGACAGCCGATTGGACGACCACGCTTTGTTGGACTGAATTCTGCTGTTTGCCTATGGAGGGGTAAACACCCTCCACAGGATGGTGTTTGTCGGAGCGGTATATCTATATATCTATCTATAGCCATTATAGCCGTCTATAGAGTCAATCTCCATGAAACCACACGTTTGGGGTGACTCTACGGAGACGTTGGAGCGGCGATCGGTTCTTGGTGTCTACAGAGTCTACAGCCGCTCTGCTCAAAAACGGGGCGCATATCATGTTTGCTGACAAGATTTTTCGCGACCAAATTTACGATTAAATATGTTTATATAACTGTGTATATATATAGGGATATTATAACTATACGTACCCTTGCAGGTGCTGAGGAAATGTTAGGAAAAACCCTAAAGTTCCTAAAACTGTTCGGGAGAAGCATGGACACGTTCAACTGTTTTGTTCCCTTCAAACCACCAGCCAGTGTCTTTCGGACAGGGAACAACTGGATGCATTTGTGCCAATGTCTCCATCAAAACCACCTTCCTGCCCTTTCAGATTGCATTCCTCTGAATCCCAACAGCACCCCTTCCACATGACCTCCGGATGGTCCCCTTGGCGCCATACTCAGGTCTACAACGGATCCACCATGACCCAACCTCAATCTACCCTCACCCCTCAGATTCTTGCTCCCTACCTGGGGATGGGTCAACACCTGAAGCCCCTGGCCCACCCTTTGCCGTGGACGACACCAGGTAGGTCCTTAACCTCCGAAACCAGCCGCTCTCCAATCGCCGATCTACCTCCTAACCGGTGGACCCGTCTCACCGGCGTGTCCTCTACGGTGTCCTCCGACATGGAGGGGAACTCCTGAGAGCGCCATGTTCGCGATGTGTGTGTGTGTGGCTGGCTTTAATCCACGCAAAGGGTGAGTCACTCCCTGGACATATCCATGGCCAACATGGATGGCATGGCCCTGTGGATGATCATTGTCGGAATACCATGAACATGGCCAGGTGGTGCCATCCACATAACCATGATGATTCCAGCGAGTAACATACTACCAGGCACTGGTTTGAACAAAATACAACATATTGACTAGATTGGTGTTCTGGATACTAATGCCCCATTAAGCACGCAAAAACTGCGTGAGGCTTTGAACCGTATCCCATCCTTTTTAGATAGACTATGGGACAACTACAAACAATCTTGGCATATCTTTACATACTGCTTACAGTTCGTGAAATCGACATGGCAGTGTCCAGCTGCGGGGAGGAAACAACAACAACAACAACAAGGTACAAACAAACTGCAGCCCCGTTACAACATATCTTCTTCCTTTCTCTCTACAAGGGGGTGGAAACAAACTCTGCAGCGCCGTCGTTGTTTTTTAACCCCCCCGAAAGCAACCAGCCAACAAGTACTTTTACCAGCAGTGGTAGTGTTTGTACTAGTGCTAGAACTAGTGGTACTAGTACTAGTAGTCGTCGTCGTAGTAGTAGTAGCAGCAGGAGTAGTAGTAGTATTAGTATTAGTAGTAGTAGTAGTAGTAGTTGTTGTTGTTGTTGTTGGTCGTAGTCGTAGTCGTAGTCGTAGT